GCCACAAGCCGGCAAAGTTGCCATAGGAGTATGGTAGCATGGAGTGCAATTCACACGACTGCTCCAGGCCACGAGGCCTAGAGCAATCGTTCGAGGTTTTGTCCCATGTAGCTACGTACTCGCAGTAACACCAGTACAGACTGATTCACGTCCCCTTCATGCCATCGGTGGTTGGTAATAGGGCCGACATTAAGTTTAAGGTATTTCGTGCTTTCTCTACCCTTAGTCCGATGATTACCATAACCGAAAAAGTCACCCTAACCACTCTCACTACCTGACTTTTTCAACAGGCTTTTTGTCCATATGACTCCCACTGCACCTAGGGAATTGCTGCACCAAGTTTCACACTCCTGCAACCATCCTAATGCTGGTTCCGCCGATAATGTTAGGAGCTTTCTTGGAGCGTGCTGGAGCAGCAAATGGAGAAGTGTAGAAAAAAACAATAAATAAAATACCTGAAGACCCCAAGAAGTCGGCTGAAAACATCAAAGGGACGTCTGGTATCGTTATTTAAAGTAGTAGTACCATTGTAGCATTGGTTGTGGATTCTAGACGGAAACGGTAAAGGCGCGGCTTAGAGAACTCCACCCGTGGGATTTATCGAATGAGATTTATTCGGATAATGTACGGATAACAGCGTGATTTAATGGAGTCCCAGGGATAAATCTCAATTTCCCACCCATGAGATTTATTCCGATTCAAACACACAGGCCGCCGCACTCTGACTACATGCAGCTGCTACCATCTGCGGCACCAAATGAAACCCACATGACGACTGTCACATCACATTCAATCAAACGTTAAAATCTATCATGTCGAAGCGCATGCCGCAGTTCGTCACCGCAAATTATCTCACTCGTCACTAAAGAGGGCAAACCCTTGAGCTTATCGATTATCACAGCATGCGTATTCTCATACCACGAGCCAATTGTGACGTGGACTCTGACAAAACAATCTACATCTACGTGGTGCTCACTAATTCGTTTACCCTGCTGATGCCGCCGTCACCGCCCTCACAATCGGCGTCAGCAAGGGTGGACACATGGCCATTCGACGTAGGGCTATGATTTTTTACCGGTGGCGTTCAGAGGTCCAATTAAGCATCGACAGGGGTTATCGTACATGTGCACAGTTCACTGTGACGCCGCCGTCCCATCACGTCGACGTTGCTCCACCATGTCGAAATTGCGCGTTGAGTTCAATAAAATGGTAATTTAATGTATATTATGTGATGGAACTTCATTTTACTATACCAAATATTGATTTGGGTAATTATTTTGATATTACTATGAATCGGATAACGTTATTGTAGGGGTCTGTCTGGATCGGGCACTGTGAATACAAATCGTAATATAAATATAAAATAATATTCAATTCGAGAAAGTAAAACTACTGGCTTTTAAATACAGAGAAGCGCTCGTGATTTAGCACCAATCAGATTCAAAAATACTTTACATGAGAAAAGACACATTTGAAGTCAGGCGACCAATAGAGAAACGGTCATGAATAAAACCTATACGTTAAACCCATAACATAATATCTTGATTGATTAAACGGACTAGCATGAATCTGATGGATAAATCGAGGCGAAAAAGTCCTATTATAGAACTTTCTGGGGTCAGATTTATGTGTGGATCTTTCAAATATAAATCTGACCCCTATAAAACCTGCCGGTGGGAGCAATAAGTCCGGGGTGGTTCTATCTAAGGGTTATCCGTATAAATATGAGCTTTAACTCCGACTGGTGGAGTTGCTCTTAGGCTGTCCATGAAACATCAAGGTGATCGTCTCGCCTACAGACAAGCCAACGACGTCTGAAAGCTTGTACAGCATTGCGAGGAGGATATGTAAAGGGAATCGGCTCTTAGTGTTAGCTATAATAGCTATATTGATAGCCCAGTGAGTAACACAAAATGTACGTGACTTGGCGTCGCGCATTTCGCATGTCATATCTCGGGAACGAGGGCGAATTGTGAGGCAAATTAACTAGTACAATTCCCTCATTAAAACAGTTCCACTGTTGTTTGACCCGAAATACTGTTTCAATGAGGTTTATATGGAACTTTGTATGATCACACCACCTCACCTCTACAAGGGGGTAATTGCATCTCAGTGGTTAGCGATAGCTAACCACTAGCGATGCAGTTAACCCCGGAGATTTAGCATCGTATATACTCACCGGGGGTAGGACAGAGTCCCAGGTTACAGTGCTAACGTTACTGGCGAAAAGGTGTATCCAAATGTAAGAATTCCCTCATTGAAACAGTATTTCGGGTCAAAACAACAGTGGAACTGCTTTAATGAGGGAATTATTCGAATTTACTACTATAGTATCAAAGAGGATATATCAGGCTTTAGATTCCACCAATCAGAAGCGATAAATACACATATTTAGACAAAATGGACCAATTAGCAGTGTTACCGAACAACTAGTATTTCAGACCAGAGTAGTACTCCGAGTATTCCCCAAGAAAAGGTAGGTTTAGACCTCCAGCAGGTAGTAACTACCTGCTGCCAGAAAATTCCTCTAGCCTCTGCATTGTGTTCGTGAGCCTTTTACTGGTATTTTCCCTGGTTGTCCACCAACAGACTGAAATGACACCACATGTACCCATGTGCTTTTGTGATGTCAACTCAAATGTTTTCACGACTGTCATCACCAATGTACAGTATTGGTTCTATACGTATACCCGTATTACGTGTGTAGTACTGTAGTATAAACGTAAGCAAGGTACTGTACTCACTGGTACTGTACGTACTACAGTACTAGTATTAACGTACAAAATGGTACAAACACCTAACGACTGGCTATTCACGGATGAGTGCTACACGTACATATTAATATTAGTGTGGTAAAATAGTGTCTAGGGTTACCCCATTTGACGTATAGAATTTTACGAGCTTTCGTCATTATTAGTACCGTGGGGTGATTTTGTCACAGACCAGCCCCTAAACCAGCCCCCTTACAGACCTGTTTGGATTTGCCATCACTCCAACATATGCATTTCAAATAATTATAGCCAATCGTGTTTACTCATGTGACATAAATCGAAAAGATACCATGCCCACACCACCGCATCACACACACCTTTACGGAACGTGTATCCCACGAGCGCATGTAAAAGTTGTCCAACCTTTCTTGCCCTACCTTCGTCAAGCTAGACAACACGCCATCTCATTGTTCATTTCACCAACACTAGCAAGCATGAAGTCAACCGCGTTCTTAACTCCGGTGGCCTTGATCATGGCCATGACGGTCCAAGATGCTTCTGCCCACGGCCGTCTGCTCGTGCCTCCGCACCGTGGCTACATGGGCAAACTTCCCCAATTCAGTGCTCTTGTTCCCACCAACTTCGAAGACCATGGCCTCAACGCTGGCGGCATTGGCCAAACCAGGGGCGGCAACCACGGGATCTGCGGCGACAGGTACTCTGGAAAGCGCTTGCACGAGACTGGCGGTAAATACGGCAAGTTCCCCCAACATCGCGAAAAGGTCATCGGGGCCTGCTACGCCCCCGGGTCCACTATGGACCTTCAAGTCCAGATCACGGCAAACCACAAGGGGTACTTTGAGTTTGGGCTGTGCAAACTGAACTCGCTCGACGACAAGGAAACGGAAGATTGCTTCAAGACGCTTGTCCAGCCCAACGGCGAAAAGGACTGGCAATTGCCAGCGGGGGCCAAGACCTTCAACATGCAGTACATGCTCCCCGATGGCGTGTCGTGCGACGGCGACTCCCACTGCGTGCTTCGGTGGCACTACGTCGGATGGAACAACCCGGATGTGGGTATCGACGGCCAAGAGCAGTTTTGGAACTGCGCCGACATTTACGTGAGCAACACGTGCGGGTCCAGCCCGTCGCCTAGCTCGTCCCAGTCCACGCCTAGCACGTCCACGCCTTCGACGTCCAAGCCGGCCATGACCAACGACCCCAAACCCACTGCCCCCTCGTCCAGCACTGACACCCCTGTGACCACGGACACCCCTCCGTCCACCTCTGGCGCCCCCCAGCCAGTGGACCCCCAGTGTGGCGGGTGCACCAACTGCTACTTCGCAGGCAACAATGGGTGCTTCATTGGGTGGAACAAAGAGCAATGTGACTCCACGGGTTGGTACAAGTGGTGCGGTGCTGGCGGCAGCAATCCGCCGCCATCGCCGTCGAACGCTCCCAATCCTTCGACTACCTCCAGCCCCAAGCCTTCGCCTACCTCCAGCCGCAAGCCTTCGCATGCCTGCAGCCCCAAGCATACCCCTTCCAGCAGCCCTAAGCATACCCCTTCCAGCAGCCCCAAGCATACCCCTTCCAGCATCCCCTCCACGACTAAGCAACCGACGCTGTCCCCATCACCTGGAACTCCTGG